CGAGGATGCGGGTGCCCGGTGGTTCGAGGTGCGGTCACCCGGTGGTCGACGATTTGGGCGGAAATTTTGGGGGAAAAGCAAAATTCGGTGGATTTCGTGGTGGGAAGGGTGGGGATTGTTGGGGAGGGGCTAGATCCACTTGCCAAACATCAAATCCATGGACCAAAACAACTAAATCTCACAAGATCCAACAAATTGCAAGAAAAAAATTTTGGGGCTATTTTTTGTGGGGATTTTCAAATTTGGACGAAAAACAACAAAATCAAGCTAGAAAATGGGGGGATGGGACTCCAAGATGTGAATCAACCTTGCTCATGATACCAAGATGTTGTAGGGTGAAACCCTAGAGGGGATCTTTTCACACTTGGAGGGGGAAAACGAGGAAGAACACTCAAGAACACAAGGCACAAAACACTCAAACAAACCCAAATATCACATCCACTAGAGTAGCATACTTGAGATCCACAAGATTACATGAACAATTCAAGGAAAATAGCACTAGGAAAGTTCTTCCCACTAGGTGAGGTCTTGATGATGATCTTCTCCAAGAGGAGGCCTTGACAATCCAAAGGATTCTTCCCTAGGTTGGGGCTTGATCTCCAAGAGGAGGGGATACAAGGAGCAAAGCTCTCTTTGGTGTTCTAAAATACTTTGCTATCCTTCGAAATGAGCTAGGAGATGAGTATATAAAGGCTAGGGACAAAACTTGAAGAAAGAGGGGTACAAAGGAACAAAAAGTCCCTAAAACGTGTGGACACGAAAGAAGGGTCCCGACACCCGGGGAGGAACCAGCCGGGCACCCGGACCGGTCAGAGGCCAGCGCCCAGGCGGGACCGGGCACCCAGTGGCGAAGGGGCCGGGCACCCGGCCAGGTCAGGGGCTGGCGGGCGAGCGGCCGGGCACCCGGGGGTCCCAAGCCCGGGCACTCGGGGTGGCTCCCAGCGGCTGGCGGGGCATGGGCCGGGCACCCGGGCCGGTTGGCCGGGCACCCGAGGCGGGCTAGGCGAGGCCCAAGTGGAGGGTCGGGCACCCGGGGCCGGCTGGGGCGCAGCCTAGACAGAGGCCGGGCACCCGGGGCCGAGATGGCCGGGCACCCGGGGCCGAGATGGCCGGGCACCCGGGGTGTCCAGGGGGTTCGGGCCTCCCCATGTCTTTGAGTCCGGGCACCCGGGGTCCTTCCATCCGGGCACCTGGGGTGTCCAGGAGCTTCTCCCCTTCATTCTTCTTGTTCTCCTCTCCTCTCCCTTGCTCCGTGGATGCTCGAGTCTCCATCTTATCCTTCTCACGGTCATCTTCTTGGTGCCTAAGAATGCATAGCACGTCTCTTTGAGGTAGAACCCAATTCTCATGTGAAACCGAAAGAAACTCGAAGAGGATAGAATTGACCTCGTTCTCGATGTTGCGTGCGTGTGCTCTTGTCATTGGTCCTCTCGGTGCTTGCGGTGGTGATGGAGTGTCGGTGCGGGTAGTCGAGGGATGCTCTGCATCATCTTTGCAATCTCTTCAACTGCTTCAAAAGACTCGACAATGAAAATGTTCAGCAAACCTTCGATCGCCTCACTGACATCTCAAATGAGCTTCAAGAACTTGGTGCCACTGACATCACCGACCATGAGATAGTGAAGAAATTGCTGAGATCACTTGATTCCTCATTTCATACTCTTGCATTGATGATTCAAGAACAAGCTGATTACAAGTCACTAGATCCAGCTGATATCCTCGAGAGGCTAAATACTCATGAGTTCCAGCTTGCTGAGAAGAGAGACCTCTATGGACCATGCTATGGAAGATCATGTGAACTGAAGGCCAAGGCAGTCTCTGAATCTGAAGGTGAAGATTCTGGTAGCAGCCTTGGCGATCCTGAAGAACTGAGCCAGGAGCAAGCAATGCTCGTGAAGAAATTCCATAAGTTCTCTCACCATGGTCGTTTTGGAAAGTCTTCAAGAAGTGATGATTCCTCATCTCATGACTACAAAAAGAGGACTTGCCACAAATGTAAGAAACCTGGTCACTACATGTCTGATTGTCCTCAATGGGAAAAGGAATCAAAGAAGAAGAAGAAGTACAAAGATGGTGATTCTGATGACTCAAAGAAGAAGAAGAAATCTTCAAAGTCCTCGTCATCAAAATCTTCAAAGTCTTCATCTCACAAGAAGAGCAGTTCCAAGAAGGCACGTGCATTTATTGTCAAGGAAATAGACTCTAAAGCTGAATCTGAGGAAAATGTGGAAGAGGAGGAATTTGAGGAGTCAGACTCTGGTGTGGCGAGCCTAGCCCTTGCTACTGCTTACGTCGGCAATTCCATCTTGAACACTGAAGAAAATGACCTCCACAACTCTACTAACAAGAGCATCGATGACTATGCTCCCACCTATTGCTTCATGGCAAAAGGTGCCATGATACTCAAACTTCCCCCTCTGGATCTAGTGAGGATGAATCTGATGACAATCTCAAACCTAGTTATTCCAAACTTGCCAAAATTGTTGTTAAACAACAAAAGGCTTTGGAAAAGATTCAAAATCTGCTAGACAAAAGCGATGACCTGTTAGGTGAGGAATTGAATCAAACTAAGACTTTAACTGATAGTCTTCACAGACTTCAGCTTAAGTTTGACAATCTTCAGGGTCTCATAACTCTCTCTTAACTGATCATGAAAAATTTTCTTATGAAATTCTTCAGAGAAAGCAAGATCTTGAGAAGTTAAAAGTGAGTTATGAAGATCTTCAGAAGGAAAATGATTCATTGCTTGCTCAACAGATCAGTTCTGCTCAGGAAGAATTTATTCCACCATGTCTGAAATGCATTGAGCGTGAATCTGCTAATTCTTCACCTGAATGTTCAAATGCTTCTATTGCTGCAAATTCTTCAACTGTCTCCGTGGTCACAAATTCCTCATCTGAGGATAGCACAAGTATCACTTACGACAATGCAGGGTTGAAGGAATTGTATGTGACATGCATATACAAAAGCATCAAAGGGCATCAGACTCTTCGTGATGTGCTCAAAAAGCAGATCTTGAACAGGAACCCTAGGAAAGAGGGTATTGCCTTTGAGAGGAAACTCAATGCTGATGGGACCTACTGGAAACCTAAGCAGTACCCCAAAACCTCATGGGTTGCTGCAAAAGGACCTCCTGTAGATCCATGCACTTTATCTGGCTTTACCTGTGAATCTTCATATTCCTCTGATGAGTCATTTGACTCTAATATAAACTGTTCAAGAATCAAAATGGTGAAGTATTTGCTCGATATGTTGGAACTAACTACAGGAACGGTCCCCTATGAAGAAAATCTGGGTTCCCAAAAGGTGCCTTGAAAATCTTCAGGTGAATGTCATCATGACACCACCTATGAAGAATAGGAACCCCAGATCAAATTCTTCATATGGATCAAAATCTTCATATGGATCCAAGTCCTCTTATGGACCAAATTCTTCATCTAGATCAAATTCCTCACGTGGATCCAAATCCCCATATGAACATCATCGTGCTAATCCAAGAAAAGGTATATCCTGCACACTATATACCAGCAAATATGATAAAAAGTAAAGAACAATAATGATCAATCAGAAGCAAAGGGCGTTTGTGTGCAGAAGATGAGAATCCACCCGATAAGACACAAACATAAACATAACATTTCACAGCAGAAGATGAGAAGCCACCTGATAAGAGTACAGCCAGCTGCTTGCCTCACACTTGTTTACACAAAGACTTACATAAAGGAAGCTGTCATTGTAGGTTCAGTCTTTGGAGCAGAACGTCATTGTTACATGATTCTTGCATAGTACAAATCTAAAAGCACTTGGAGACCTCCAAAAGACAAATGTTCCACAACTAAACTTGACTAATAAGAACGAAAAGTATGTTACCTACTAAGCACTCAAGCCTGCTTATTGGGACATGTTTTTTTGAAGGTTATCAGAAGCTATCTTTAATAGTGATCAGCCGCTCCTCTGACTTCACTCCAATATAATGTAACCTCTGTGTCAGTTCCTCAATGCCTGCCAGCGCTGATTTCATAATCCCTTTGGTATTAGCTTGCCCTCTTAGGTGCCGAGCAGTTGTTGAGTTCTGTATCTGGTCAGAATATGAGCTCATATACCTAACAGCATAGTACCAGCCTTTGCATAGTTTCTTGATAGTCTCATTTCCTTCCAACAACCACGTGACCAAATGCCTAACTTGATTTTGAAGCATTATGACATGGGTGTAGTGGTAGTTGTCAGTGTCAAAACTGGCGGATCTCGGGTAGGGGGTCCCGATCTGTGCGTCTTAGGCTGATGGTAACAGGAAGCGAGGGACACAATGTTTACCCAGGTTTGGGCCCTCTCAATGGAGGTAAGACCCTACTTCCTGCTTGATTAATATTGAAGATATGAGTAGTACAAGAGTAGATCTACCACGAGATCGTAGAGGCTAAACCCTAGGAGCTAGCCTATGATGATTATGATTGTAATTGTGATCGGCCTTCTAAGGACCAACCTCTCCAGTTTATATAGACATCGGAGAGGGCTAGGGTTTACATGGAGTCGGTTACAAGGAAGGAAACACAGTATCCGGATCGCCAAGCTTGCCTTCCACGCAAAGGAGAGTCCCATCCGGATACGGGATGGAGTCTTGAGTCTTGTATCTTCACGCTTCAATAGTCCGGACGATGTATATAGTCCGGATGTCCGGATACCCCCTAATCCAGGACTCCCTCAGTAGCCCTTGAACCAGGCTTCAATGACGATGAGTCCGGCGCACAGTCTTGTCTTCGGCATTGCAAGGCGGGTTCCATCTCCGAATACTCCAAAGTAATTATCGAACACTTCAACCGTGTCCGGATCCGCAAAATGATCTTCACATACCGCCGTAGAGAGAATGATATTTCACAAATGCAATCTGCTGACAACTTTTTTAGACAACGTGACATGTTATTACGGTCGGGTCATTATTCGAACCGTTTTCCTACAACCAGCCACATTGCATATTGCGAGGCGGTTTCCTTGACATGTCTTGTCAAAGCAGAGATCGTGTCCCCTTATCACGGGATTCTCATCAATACGGGTATGGGTAATCCCACCATGCCATCAATCGTGGCGCTTGGGAAGTAAGCGATTCTCAACGGGCGAGTTGGGAGGCGCACCGCTTTTGTCGCCTCTATAAAGGTATAAGAGTTCCCCATTTTTACCCACGCCTTCTTCCTCCTTCGCCCACTCTTGCCCCCTCGAGCTCCAGCGCCCTAGCCCAAGTCTTCTCCACACAGCTAAACATGTCCGGAGCAGGAGGCAAGTGGGTGGCTTCCACCGTGAAGGAGAAGCACATCACAAATCTTCGGGCGGCCGGATACTTGGCCGCAGACATAGCGCACTGGCTACGAGATGACGGGCAGGTCATTCCAACCCCGAGACCCCACGAGAGGGTCGTGTTTCTCGCCCACTTCGTCCGTGGACTGGGGTTTCCACTTCACCCCTTCGTCCGCGGGCTCATGTTCTACTATGGGATAGATTTCCATGATCTAGCCCTGAATTTCGTCCTCAACATCTCGGTGTTTATCATCGTGTGCGAGGCCTTCCTCCGCATCAAGCCTCACTTCGGCTTGTGGCTGCAAATCTTCTGCGTGAAGCCGAAGATCGTGAGCGGCCAGCAAGCGGAGTGCGGAGGGGCCATGGTGGGCAAGATTCCTAATGTCACCTGGCTTAACGGCTCCTTTGCAGAAACTGTGAAGAGGTGGCAGTCGGGGTGGTTCTACATCACCGAGTCGCGCGGCGCCAACTGGGCGGCGGCCCCTGAGTTCCGATCCGGAACCCCCATGCGGCTTACCTCCTGGGAAAAGAAGGGCTTGTCCTAGGGCAAATCTACAGAGCTGACCGGACTCCAAACCTGCACCAAGAGCATGAAGGACAAGAACATCAAGCTTGTCAACGTGATCCAGGCCATGCTCGTTTGCCCGATTCTCCCGTGCCAAAGGCGGGCATTTAATCTGTAGGAGTTTGTCCAAGCCGAACACCAGACGCTTCGGAGGCTCTATGGCATGACGCACAAAGACGCATGGAAGGCGCTGTTCAAGGCCTCCGAAGTACCTCCTCTCACATCCGAGGACCGTGGGCTCCACGCCGCGTGGCCTCCTAGTCAGGTGAGTTTTCAGGCTACCACCGGATTCGGTTCTTCCCAATATATTCATGGGGGAGTCTTTATTAATTGTGCGTATTTGTTCAGGATTATGTGGAGACAGCGGAGCGGATTGACTGTCCGGCTCCGCTGCCAGAAGGCCCAGCTGACGCTCTCCTAAAGGGTCGAAAAGAAGGCCCCAGGGATCCGAAAGGGTCTCGGGCGTAAGGTTGTGCCGGAGGCCTCGTCCGAAGATGACGAGGCACACTCCTCCCCCGAAGGGGAGGAAGAAGAAGAAGAAGGGACCACCCCACCCGGAGAGGGTGAGGGGCCCGAGAAGGCGGACCAGGGGGCCGGGAAAGGCCCTCGGCGCAAGGCCGTCATACCCACGTCGTCTGACGATGACGAGACAGATTCCTCCCGCGGAGGTGGGGGGAAGCAAGAAGAAACTCTACCTCCCCGCACCTGGGAGGAGAAAAAGAGGAAAGACGCCCCGGAGGGGGAGGCTGGGACGTCCAAGAAGGGAAAGGTATCCCTTCCGGACTACTCCACCACGACCGCCCATAGCGAGGAGGGGTGGCTGCCCAGGGGGAAGCCCCTAGCGCGATCGTAAGTATCCGCATTATATCATGATTTATACTTCATAGTCTTTTTATAATGCTGAACATATATGCAGACCGGCCAGGGTTCATCCCGAGGTATCTTCTTCGGATGGGTCCCTGAGCGATTCAGCGATGAACTCGCTCCCGACAACCACTACTCCTCAGCCCACTGATGACATGAAGGTGTTGTCCCGAAGGCTCCCAGTGCGGGGGGAGGTGACTCTGCAGACGCCCCAAGGCGGGATTCCAGATGTCGGACACGCGGGGTTCAAGATCCCCGCGGATCATGCCGATGAGAGCCACAGCAAGCCGGACTCTCATCCGGATACTGTACCGGAGCCTTCGATGGCTCTGGATGCGGGCAGGCGATCCCTCGCTAGGGAGGGCGAGCCGTCCGTGCCAACGACTTCCGTCACGCCAAAGGCGTCGGATAGTCTGCTGGAAGCGCTTCGCGGCGCTTCCCTGGATGACAAGCACCGTACTCTTATGGGTGCGGTGATTCAGAAGGTTCTGTCCGCCAAGAGCGGACTGACCGAAGCGTGTACCAGCCTCCTAACAGGCTTTGAGGTAAGTAATAAAAATGTGTGAAATTACCACCCGATAGGTAGTAGCCCCTGATACTCTATTTGGTGTTCGGAAAGAAAAGCCAAACGGAGGGTCAATTATAATCCGCAGGAGTCTAATAATAAGTATTCATGTGAATAAGCAGGCTATGCTGCTTGCCGCTGCTGCCTGCACAGCCGAGGTTGCCGAACTAAAGAGGGCCTGGAGCAGGCGCAGGGAGAGCTCGACCTCACGAAGAGGCAGCTCGAAGAGAACAAAGGTGAGTGATTCCCCGCTCTTACGTATTTAAGGATAGATGAAATTGGTTAGTCTAACGACGAAGTGTCGTGACTGTGTAACAGGGGCCACCGCTGAAGTGGGATCCCTGAAGAAAGCGCTATCCAAGGCCGAAGACAAGGCGGCCTTGGAATGCAAGGAGCGCGAAAAGCAAAGTGCTAGAGTGGGCGAGGTACAACAAGAGCTCCGGGACCTCGGCAAGAAGTTCGAGTCCGTGGAGCGTGATCTGAAGATGAAAGAGGCCGAGCTTGCGAAGGCCCTTGTGAGTATGAAGGACGCCAAGGCCGAAGCTGAGAAGGCACAGCAGGAAACCCAGGAGGCCAAAAAGATAGCGACGGGTAAGAAATTCTTTATGCAAAGCAAACATGTGGAGGAGGCATTTCTTTTACTTACGCGAATTCGGAGCTTTCCAGGGGCATTTGTAGATCTACCACGCAGCGTATCAGACATTGTGGAGTTCTACCATGCCCAGGAGGGGAGCTCAACGGAGAAGTTGTTCTAGTCCCAGTATGCTGGGGCCGAACACCCAATGCCTCTGAGTGACCAACTGAAGCAGTTGGTCGAACTCCACAGGGCAACCGAAGTGGCTATGAAAGATTTCATAGTCCGGATGTGGCCTGGTGAGCCCTGCCCACTAGCTACTTCGGCCTGATCAAGCGGATGGTGAATGCATGTCCGCGGCTTGAAGTGATCAAGCGATCCGTCTGCATTGAGGGTGCCCGCCGGGCCTTTGCCCGTGAGAAGGTGCCTTGGGGCAAGCTGGATGCGAAGAAGCTGGTGAAGGACGGGCCGCCGGAGGGCAAGGCGCCTCGTCATCCCGAGAAGTACTATGATGGCGTTATGAAGGGCGCTCGTCTCGTGGCCGATGAATGTACCAAGGACAAGATCTTTGACTAAATGTACCTCTGCCACGGTTGTAATTTAAAGACGAAGTTACTTGTGCTATGTAGCACTGTTTGATTTAAAATATTACCTTCTGTGCGGCTGTTTATAAAATTCTGATAGTAGGCCAGTCGTCGGCTTCCGCCCCCACGTAACTAGTACCGGGGTGTTCCTGGAAAAACCCGGATACTCTTTATCCAAATGTTTGGTCCCTTAAATAGGTATCCGGCGCAGCGAACGAGGCAATCGGACTATGCGGCTTTATAACTTTCACTTAGCCATAGAAGTCTATAATTTTAAATTTCGGTGAAGCCCCTAGGATTCGGAAGGCCGAATTGGGGCGCTATACATGCCTAGATCGGACGAAGCCGATTCCTCGCCTAAAGCGGAAAAAATCTTTAAGGATTTTAACACCTATCGAACAGCGACCAGCTCTCGCTGCATCATGCCGGTCAGTTTTCGGCTTTCTCTACTGAGGTGCTCGTCCGGAAGAACCGGGACACAATCGCAGTAGTTCTCCCTGCGCTACCTTAGCCGATATAACAGAACATAAGGTACCAAAACAAGGGAGCCGGGCTAACCAAACTGTGGACCCAAGACATGATTTGGAGCTAATGCATATAATGCTATAAGTTCGGGGTGCCGCACTGTTGAAAGTGTTTGGACTTTACTTGCCGTATTACGGGGCGCCATGAGAAGCCCCTGGCAAACTGGCCGTACCAAGGTGTACGGATGCAATATCAAATAAACATTTGTAAGAAAAAAATGCTCAAATAAGAATAATAAGTTGATGCTATATGTGATCTCCCATTGATGAATAATATGTTTAAGCGTATGTTTACAATGAATGCATTAAGCGGAGATAAATAGGACTATTTTACATGTCCTATCCAGGGGCAGGCTGCGTACAGGTATGTAAAACAGGCATAATGATCATAAATAGATTCCACCTGGGTATTTCCTTCTGTGCACAAATCCTGTTGCCTCCTTGATTTTCTCCCCTGTATAAGTCCGACAATCCGGCTCTTCTAAAGAGGTTGCCCTAAAGTGATGTCCTGAAAAATAAAAAGGGGGGATTTATGAAGGTGTGTTGCGGTGATACTGCACTGTTGACTGAGTCATTGTTGCGCCTCCGCCTGTGCCCATGGTATTTTGAGTGCGTAATTGTGTGCGCGTGGCATGAATGCTGCTTTGATGGGGCTTGAGCGGAGGCCGGACTGCTAGTCGCGCTCTTGGCGTGCCTGATGATCCTGTTGCGGGGTGCTCCGGACTCGCTTGACGATGCTTGAAGTTGTTGTCGCCGGATTGGTTTGTTGGAGGAGACCGCATTGTGCTTCCGCCGCGAGGGCTGCAGTATGCTCTTCTGTTCGGAGAGAGCGGTCCATGTTTCCGTTGATTGTTATGACCCCACGCGGTCCTGACATCTTGAGCTTGAGGTATGCGTAATGTGGTACCGCATTGAATCTAGCGAATGCGGTTCGTCCCAGCAGTGCGTGATAAGCACTGTGGAAGGGGACGATATCGAAGATTAACTCTTCGCTTCGGAAGTTATCTGGAGATCCAAAGACCACTTCCAATGTTATAGAGCCTGTACAACGGGCCTCTACTCCAAGAATTACACTTTTAAAGGTGGTTTTGGTGGGCTTGATCCTTGAAGGGTCAATGCCCATTTTGCGCATTGTGTCCTGATAAAGCAGGTTCAGGCTGCTACCGCCATCCATGAGGACTTGCGTGAGGTGGAATCCATCGATGATTGGGTCTAGGACCAATGTGGCTGAGCCGCCGTGACGGATGCTGGGAGGGTGATCCCTACAATCAAAGGTGATCAGACAAGCTCACCATGGGTTGAATTTGGGGGCGACTGGCTCCATCGCATAAACGTCCTGTAGTGCTCACTTTCATTCCCGCTTGGGGATGTGAGTGGCGTAGATCATGTTAACCGTTTTCACCTGGGAAGGGGGGGGGATTTCTTCTGTCCCCCCGTGTTCAGACGCCGGGGCTCTTCGTCATCGTCGCTGTGCAGCCCCTTGTCCTTGCTTTCGGCGTTTATTTTGCCGGCCTGTTTGAACACCCAGCAGTCTCTGTTGGTGTGGTTGGCTGGCTTGTGAGGGATGCCATGAATTTGGCACGAGCGCTCCAGTATTCGGTCCAGACTGGATGGTCCCTGATTGTTTCTTTTGAATGGCTTCTTCCGCTGATCGGACTTGGATCCGCTGAATCCGACGTTTACTGCCATGTCTTCAGTGTTGTCGCCGTTGTTCCGTCGCTTATGTCTGTTGCGTCGTGGCTTGCCGTTATTGTCGCGGACATCCGAAGTGCCAGAATGTGGAGTGGTGCTGCTGCGAGCCAACCAGCTGTCCTCGCACGCGCAAAAGCGGGTCATTAGTGTTGTGAGAGCTGCCATGGACTTGGGTTTTTCCTGGACGAGGTGTCGGGCGAGCCACTCGTCACGGATATTATGCTTAAAAGCCGCCAGGGCTTCGGCATCCGGACAGTCGACTATTTGGTTCTTTTTAGTTAGGAACTGAGTCCCGAATTTCCTGGCTGACTCCCCGGGCTGTTGGTCGCACATATGTGCCCTGGAATTTGTCGAGGAATGCGTCTTCCAGGTTTTCCCAACTGCCAATGGAATTTGCTGGCAGGCTGTTTAGCCAGTGTCGGGCGGGTCCTTTGAGCTTAAGGGGAAGATACTTGATGGCGTGTAGATCATCTCCGCGGGCCATGTGAATGTGGAGAAGGAAATCTTCGATCCATACTGCGGGGTCTGTTGTGCCATCGTATGATTCGATGTTTACGGGTTTGAACCCTTATGGGAATTTATGATCCATCACTTCATCAGTGAAGCAGAGGGGTGTGCGGCGCCTCTGTGCCGGGCTATGTGGCTACGCAGTTCGAATTGGTCTGGGTTGCTGTGTTCGGCCCGGCCGGACTTGTTGATGATGTATCCGGCGTGACGGTCATCGTTGTGTGCTGGGGCACGCCCCCTCGATCCGTAGATCGATCTTGGATGTCCTGCTTTGTTTTCCAGTATATCTTGCAGGTCTTGCTTGTTGCCCCGGGCCGCAGTGTATTGGCGTGGGGGTGTGGGCTGGTATTCGGGCAGATATCCTGTTTTATCCCGGCCACGGGGTGGCCGGTCAGCCGTTTGGTGCTCGAGTCCATATTCCTCGGCTGCCAGGACTTCAGTCCATCTATCTGTGAGCAGGTCTTGATCAGCCTGGAGTTGTTGCTGCTTCTTTTTCAGGCTCCTCGCGGTGGCCATAAGCCGACGGTTGAAGCGCTCCTGCTCCACGGGATCCTCAGGCACGCCGAACTCGTCGTCACCGACGCTAATCTCGTCTTCGGAGGGGGCATGTAGTTGTCCTCCTCTGGATATCCGTCGGTTGCCTATTCGTCTGGGCTGACCTGCTCATCATCCCGCTCGTCCTGCTCGAAGGCGGGCTGATCAGGGTTGTATTCCTCTTTGGCACCATCCGGATTGTTTTCGTCTCCTGGGCTGGTATTGCTATGGCGGGGCTTGGAGCGGCGCCGACGACGCCCATGTTTTGTTTTTCTCCCTGAGGGGTTATCCTCTGTTGCCTCATCACCATTGGTTTCCTTCGGAGTGTCCACCATATATATATTGTATGAGGAGGTGGCTGTCCACCGCCCTGTGAGCGGCGGTTCCTGTACTTCTCCCGCATCGTCGTCCATACCGTCGATGTCTTCGGAGTCGAAGTCAAGCACGTCGGTTAAGTCATCGATCGTGGCAATGAAGTGGGTGGTGGGTGGGCAGCGAATTCCTTCATCGCCTGCTTCTCACTCAAGCCGGACATAGTTCGGCCAAGAGCCTCCTGACAAAGAGAGAGACTTTAATGAATTCAGCATGTCCCCAAAGGGCGAGTGCTGGAAGATGTCCGCGGCGGTAAACTCCATCACTGGAGCCCAACCTGGCTCGACTGGCTCGAGAGTGCGCGGACTGGAACCAATGACCGGATACGAGTCCGGGGGTCCGGAGTCACAGGCTTCCACAGAGGTGAGGCCTATGTTTGGCTCCACCGCTGATGAGTGTGCAGCCTGCGAGGCGGGGTCCATCCCTCCATCCTTAGGCAACGCAGCCTACTTCAGATTTAGGTCCGGGGCTACTGCAGGGGTGATATCTCGAACATTGTCCGACAGCAGGTCTAGGTCGTGCTCATCGCGACTGTCCGGTGCTCCTGGCACAAGCCCGAATCCGTCGAAGATCAATTCTCCCTCGAATATCTGCCGTGTAGTTCAAGTTTTTGAACTTGACTTGGTGGCCAGGGGCGTAGCTGTCGATCTGCTCCAGATGGCCAAGCGAATTGGCCCGCAGCGCGAAGCCGCCAAACACGAAGATTTGTCTGGGGAGAAAAGTCTCGCCTTGGACCGTGTTGTTGATGATTGAAGGCGCCATCAAGCTTTGTAGTGACGACACAGAGGAACTCTCAATGAAAGCACCAATGTCGGTATCAAAACCGGCAGATCTCGGGTAGGGGGTCCCGATCTGTGCGTCTTAGGCTGATGGTAACAGGAAGTGAGGGACACAATGTTTACCCAGGTTTGGGCCCTCTCGATGGAGGTAAGACCCTACTTCCTGCTTGATTAATATTGAAGATATGAGTAGTACAAGAGTAGATCTACCACGAGATCGTAGAGGCTAAACCCTAGGAGCTAGCCTATAATGATTATGATTGTAATTGTGATCGGCCTTCTAAGGACCAACCTCTCTGGTTTATATAGACATCGGAGAGGGCTAGGGTTTACATGGAGTCGGTTACAAGGAAGGAAACACAGTATCCGGATCGCCAAGCTTGCCTTCCACGCAAAGGAGAGTCCCATCCGGACACGGGACGGAGTCTTGAGTCTTGTATCTTCACGCTTCAATAGTCCGGACGATGTATATAGTCCGGATGTCCGGATACCCCCTAATCCAGGACTCCCTCAGTAGTCTCTAATTTCTTTCCCACGCGTGTTTTCCATATATCTAATAGCTTTTATAGCGGCACTGTCTTCTGCATCTTCATAGGTATGTGAAACCATACCAGATATTGAGGTAGAAACAAGCAAACCATCAAGCTGCTCTAAGGAAGAATTGAAAGTGAATGTCACACCAGCCTTGCCACCCGGACGTATCTTGTGATGGTAAATTGTAGGGGGCAATTTTAAAGCTTCCAGCATAAGCCCAAATATGTGGGAATAGGGGATTACTATCAGATAGTCATCTTCCTGTAGGTTCATGATGAGGTCAAAATAGTTGTTCCACAAAAGAACATCTAGGTAGTCAGATGAGGGTTTGAATCGGATATGCCAGTTCATAGAAAGTTATAGCATGTGTTTAGAAGATTACTCTAGGTTCAGGTGTTCTTGTCCTTGACGATGTTGAACCTGGAGATCCCTCGTCACAAATCACACCAATGTCCATGGCGTCCATGCCTAAGATGTCCATGGCGTCCATGCCTAAGGTCTTGGATCTGAGCCTGTAGTGTGAGATTGAAGTGAGGAAAAAGTCAACAGTGAATGAGAGAGGAAAGCAGGCGTTGAATTACCTTTACTTTGAAGAATGGCTGCCAAAGAAGCTGATGGAGCCGTCGCTGGGCACACCTCATATTCAATAGATTTGGATGATGAAATGGAAAAGCGCTTCATATTCGACAGATTCACATGATGAAAGGGAGAAGTGCACAGGTTCAGGGCATTATACCAAAAGCAAAACAGAGCAGGATCGCATCACACTAAAATATTTACAATGTAGTGACTTTTTTGAGGGAATATATTGCAGTGACAGTAATATTTGATAGAGTGTGGCTTACCGTACCCCATTTGTCCCCAACCATATCAAGCCTAGTAAGGTTCACAAAGATGAAAAGTTTCAGAGCATCAAATTCTATTACATACCAGTTGTGTTTTACCATAGGCAATGCAACATGTGATATGCCAAAAGGATTGAGGATTCAAGGTTCAGTTCATCGTACCAAAAGGCCACAAATAACCATTCATCTATTAATACTCCTAGATGTTGAGTCACAGGAATAAGAGCGGTACTGACAATACATCAGAGCTTATATGTGCACACAAATTCATGTTCATTATTCATTAAGTGACTTTACATCACCGATAGGAAGTGCAGCTCGCTACAACCCACCTCTAGCCAACCTGGTAGTACACTATTCAATAGATCCAATGAATGCAAAGGTATAAGGGCAGCAGACAGATGAAAGGATCAAAGAAAGACACAAGGAGGAGTAATCACTTGTAATATTAATGGTTCGGTCCATACATCCCTTCGAGCATGTCATGGAACCAATATATATGGTTCTAACTTTGATCCCATCTTTGAGCGAAACTACATTTTTACAGATCTCCTAATTTTGATCCCATAATTTTATATTACAACATTCAATAGTTAATTTAACATCAACATCAGGAGGGAGTGTACCTCCCTTTTGCATTTGAATCGGTTGAAACGATTAAACCTCTCCGCAAACAAAATCTGCAAAGCATGTATCAAACATTTTATAGTATGCTGGCAATACAGAGCAATAAACAAACAACAAGACAATAATAATGGATGGACCTAACTTCACATAGTATGAAAAATGCTCAATTCAATTTTTTCGATAGTCGATAAGTGTTTTCCATGAGAAGTTGTATGGTGTAGATCTGGCCAGAACTACACACCCTGATTAGTACATAGTAGTAATTGTAACATATAGTATTTCTATTTGTATATGCCTACAAATTTGTGCACTTCACGCAGTAAGTGATACTCGACTTGTAAGTATTCCATTACCATTTACCAACCACATTTATATCATAGCTCTGGAAGCTTTGGACCTCAATACACCTTTGTTTGACCACTATGGGGCCTTTCAAACCCTTTTTGTTCGCCTAGTCAGCACCTTAGAACGCAATCAACATCTTTAGCACATCGAGAAATACATATCTGGATCATACAATATATAGCTAGTGACTTTGTTATTCCAGTAAATGCATATCCTATATAGATAGGAAACCGCCACGCATTACCCGCAGAAGCGGTGGGATAACCAAAGAAGTATACACCTAAATAACTAATCATGCATATACACAAATAGATATGGGATCTAAATATTTTGCTAGTTACCTATGGTTTTTAGACAAACAAAAATAAATAGGTGTTCCTTTATGAAAAGGGTATGCGGGTGCATACCATAAACTGTAGAAATTGAATATTCATTACAGTAAACAGAAGTAGAAGAGCTAGATTCAAAACAGTGATGACAAACTGCAACCAGTTATTCTATTTGTATGTATCTATGGATCGAAGTTTATCACAATATTTTGAACCATACCAAGCTTCTGGTGCATGCTCCTATATTTTAGTTCACGAAAGAAAAAAATTCCTGTAAACTGAAACAAAATCTAAAACGCATGTCGAATGCATATTTCAACACTCGGCACTCCATCGCAATAATCATAACATGCACCTGCTAGTGAATGATGAACAACTCTTTTTAATCTGCATTCTTATAGTTCCCCTATTCAAAATTTAAATGAATAAATTTGATGACACACAATATTATAGGGCAGTAAATAACTACAGTTCTTGTCCTGGAAAGGCAGAATCCAAACTCGCTAGGGTCAAATCGACAGTTAAGTGACTGACTATTTTTTATTGAACTAAATCAAGTACGAATGGGAAGAAATCACAAAGTTTTAGTGGTAGAAACTATCCAAGAGATACACCATCAACTACACATTTATCACACGCATATGCTAGATATTTTACCACAATGGAGCTAAATAAAAAAACATTGGAAAACTTCAGTGATATTTTAAATGGCTTAAACTGGTAGAATTAGTTTGCGCCATTTTAAGATGGCAAAAGTAGCATTTTATACATTTTTCACGAAGGAGCACATCTAGTGGCAAGAATCGATAGGCAAGACCCACCTTACCAGCGTCATGCCGATGCGAAGGCATCTCGCAGATCCAAGGCGACCAGCCCCACCGACCGTAATTGTAATTGATGGTAAGACAACAGCTAATAACAAAAAGTGGAATTGAAATGAGAAGAGTCAAACCTCCTTCCATCTTTCTATGCTTCAACTTTATGTTCTTACAATGGTTTCCATGCTCCCAGCAGCTGCTTCCAAATGCAGTTGAAGCAAATCGTCGTCTTTTGAATCCTTGTAGACAACCTCCATGGTAAAGCAAGAATCAAGAAAGGTTTTCTGCAAATCTGACCATAAAAATGAACACAATAACAATATAAAACTCACAGTGCAAAAACCACACCTTGCTGGGTAGTTTTGGTCGCAGCTCACTTGATTTGTTCCTTTGGTGTTATCTAAATCAGGGTCAACAACGAAAACAAAATCCATTGAGCATCATCACCCCTTGCACCCCAGCCTCGACGATGATCCCCATCAGGAAGACTGGGACGATGATGGCAATGATCATCATCATGCTCTCCACCAGCAGTGTGCACATGCATAGGTTGACGACGAAGTAGGTGAAGCTGCCAGGTCCTTTCATTAGCCCGGTAAGGTAGTACATCATTCTGCCAGGGATCACAGCGATGACGGCAAGGTATGGAGTGGCTGACAATGTGTGTGAGATCACAAACTCCTCCACACCGTAATGGCCACTCGGCCTCTCCCTTCTGAATACCTAGAAACAAAGTGTGCAGACAGATTTTTATTTGTTTCAGACTTTCAATATACAACGAAAGCATGGACATATAGGTGCTCTTGTGAAAATGTTAGTCTGAGTGCAGGGAGAAAGCAACCTTTACGTCCTCTACAAAAGAAGGGAATCCTCCAATGGCCATGAAGGTAAGAAGTGCCGTCGTATACATTATTACTTCACATCTAGACTGAAAAATCAGGGGAACAGATCAATTTTTGTTGACATATAAATTATTTATGTTGCCTAATGAATCATGTCTTCTAGAATTCACCTGGATGGAACTGTAACTATGGCCAACTTGGTAGAATATGGTGCCAAGACAAATGCCAATGCCCAGGTAAACACCCAAGCGCATCCAGTAGTATCCTATGCCCCTGTGCATATTCACAAATGACCTTCTGGTGAGTACAAAGAGCTTTGCTGACAAGCTCGCTTGTTCCCTCTTCCTAAATGGAGCTCCACCCTGGAACATAGCTCAATAATACTAGACAATAATTTGATTTTGAATGTGTAAACATCACTAGGCCAGCACCGTATACTCTGCGGCAAGAAGTTTGTTGCCGGTTCATTCAAATAAAAAATGACATGTTGTACAGATGCTGAATTAGCATGTTGTTCCCTCCAGTTCATAATGGAGATTCTTTAGGGGCTGAACTTTGAAAACTTTGACGGCCAGTATGTTTTGAATATTCAGATCCAAAATGATATGCGTTTCTCAGAAAATATTTCCAACATGTTATAATTTTACTGGGTACTATATGTACATATTATATACCACAACAAAAACAAGTTGCCAAAGTTACATTTTGAAGGCCGTGTAAAAGACACCACTTTTTCGTGAGCTAGAGGGAGTACTTCACTGACTGAATTTGCCCTTGTAATTAGTTTGCAGTTGGTATATATAGATCTGTCCACATTTGGGTGGTCCCTTCTTTGTAACCAAACATTTTGGTATAGCCAAAACAATACAATCTTTACTCTCGAGAAAAAAGGGGCTTGGAAGCAACTTACTATCCCTTTTAGCTCAGCTATCCGGTCCATTGTTTTCTCTAAATAAGCGGGGGACTGGTAAGCATTTGTTAGAATCTCTATTGCTTCAGCTGCCGTTTTTTCCTAGCTTTGGAACTCTCTAAAATTTCCTGCATGCATATGGGATCACATAGCCAAAGTAAAGATGTTGCACTTCTTGTTCAGAGTATCATACTACAAAATGACAAGGAAAAACAGGTACTACCTCGTCAAAATCTTTGTTGATTGTCCTCAGGAAGTGGTCAGATGGGTTCCTCAGGTGTGGGCATGGGAAGCCACTTTCAGTGTAATATTTGAAAGGTCAATAACACACATGTTTTTCTATCATATGTCAAAAGTAATTCAGTACGAATAAACTGGATGCTTTAGTATGTTTTCATTCTTAAGGAAAAAAACAACATTGGCTGACACTTGTACACATTAACACGAGGCTTATTATACAACCGAAGTTTGATCAAGCCAATAGCAAATTTGCTAATACACATACTACTGGACGTTTATAACACTCGTGTAGCACTTCCAGCGAGGTTGACCAGCCAATAGGAAATCTGTAGCTACAAAGAGAGATGAACTTGTAGACGGCTACATCGTTCTCCTACCCATGCTCGACGTTGACGGCGGTGCTGCCATGCCACCATGAGGAAGAGTAAGAGAAACGCCTCCACCTATGGTGTGGTGCGGCCGGGAGAAGAAGGTGGCCGCCGCCATCCGGTGGCGCCAACCGCTGGGGGTTGGCCTGGTGCTCCTCCCGTTGAAGCCGCCCGTGCTCTCTCTATCGAGCATCATGGAGGAGTGGATGAAGAGGAGGCTAAGGTGAGCTTGTGTGGTGGCTGGCATTGGGAGAGGGACGGGAGGGAGAGAGAAGTGTACATGGTCGCCCAGGAATGCCTCGCTAGAGCCAGAGATGCAGCGAGGCCTGGGGTGGTTCTTGGCGCCGGGAGGCTAAGCACGCGCCATGGCCAGCGGGAAGTGGAGCCGCATGTGGGGGCGAGGGAGGAGACGGAGAGGAGCCGCCGGAGTCCACCGGCGATGATGTAGGGTAGAACCCTAGAGGCCGATCTTTCATGTTTGGAGAGGATCCCTACGAAGAACACGAAGAACACGAGAAGGGGAACGAGAGAAAAACACGAAAAATCACTCAACCAACAGGAACAAAGTCACATATGTACTAGATCATCGAGGCACAAGGTAATACAAGATCCAAATCCAACAAGAGACCGTACAAAGGGTAACGGCTCTTCTCCGTGAGGAGGTCTTGATGGTCTTCTCTGGATGGAGGTCTTGAATCCTGGTGGATCTTCTCAGAAGAGGTGTCGGTCCCTCACGAGGAGCAGATCCGGATGGACGAGCGAGGCTCTATCTCACAAATGAGCTAAATCAACGCTAAGTCTCAAAAGGAGGAGGAGGAGTCCTATATATAGACTAGGGGGCAAAGGGGTACATGGGCTCAGCCCAACACACGCGCGCAGGCGGGGTTCGGATGATCCGAGTGAGGAGCCGGATGATCCGAGCTCGGGTCGGATGATCTGGGAGGAGGCCCGGATGAGCTGGTGACGCAGGCGGTGGCGGTGCAGGTCCGGATGTCCGGCTGGGGGTCCGGATGTTCGGGCAATGTCTGGATGATCCGGGTCGGCGTCCGAATGGTCCGGCTTCGGGGGGTGAGCTTCGGGTGACTTCGG